ATAATTCATTTCATCTACAGCTCGAACCTAAAGTTTAGAAAAAGAACAAGTGTTAAAACAAAAAATCCAATTCCATTTCATGCATCCATTATTTTGAGCTTTACTGTCTGTCCTAGAGTATACATCCTTACAGGCTAATAGATAATGGGTCTTTTTCAATCTTCATGACAGCAGTAATTTAAAGGATGGATCTAATTACTCAGAAAAAACATAAATCGTGTTAATTAAGTTGAATTTCAAAAAAAAAAAAAAAAAACATTAACAATGACAAAATGTCAGATAGCGCCATTTACTAGAAGGGTGGTTTATTTTTCACTCTAAACCTCTCCTTAAAATGTGGAACAATATATGGGCATCCTGTTATAATCAGTTTTGTATCCAAGGTCCTTCTACTGAACATCATGGCAAAATCTTTAAACTTTTGGTGGCAATGTGTCCTGATTAACTGTACATCATGTACATAAATTCACTGAAACTATAAAAAGGAACCAGGCAAATACTATGTGAGGGGAAGACAATGCCACAATGACAGCCAAGCGGGAAATTATCTTTTATATTCCTGTCACTCCAACGATTTCTTTTTGACAACACTTCTGTATGTTTCTAATATTCACACATCATCTAATGCATTTTAATTGATGCAGTTAGTCTGGAGCCAAATGCGTTTATTGTGTTAAATTTAGTACAGAACAAACAAAAAGATGCAATCTATTTATGCACTTAACTGCATCTCATCCAAATGCATTAATTAAAACTGAATTCATTCAAACATCAAATAAGATTTTGCATTCAAACTTTATGGCAATCGTGCACTTTAATTTTCAACTTAATCCAAGGAAGAACACATTGGAAATATTAAAAGGAGATGACAGCAGCAGCAACAGCTTAAAAGTTCCAAAGAAAATTTTTTATCAGATTTATTTAGTGTATTCGTTTCATGAAACTAGTGTGCTAAATCATAAAGCCTATGATGAAGTTTAGTTCACTGTGTTCTGAGTTTTTTTTACCTGATCAACATGATTGGCATCTCCAGTTGGCCAGCGGTGCTTGTTAGGAGTGCAACCAACAAGTTGCTCTCCAGGTTGCCTCTGAAAGAAGTATCCAACTGTTGCATCGTCCTGAGATCTTCCGCTCAATGGAGGCTGCGGCGTACCTGGAGTGAGGGTAGAACTTCTGTCCATACCCTGTAAATGTGGTCCACCAGGAGCCTGTCCACCGCCGACCGCCGTCAGGGGTCCGCCACCATGAACCCGAACACCCCCTGCATCAGGAGCACCATTTGCATGCAGCATCCCACCTCTTGTCTCCTGCCAACCCACGTCATTCATGCCTAGGATGCTGCATGGAATGCTCATTCCACGGGAAAGCCTAAGAAAAATCCAAAACATAAAAAGGTCAGACTTTAACCATCTCAAATAGTCCAATGGCACTTTTTTTTTTTTTGATGTGCTTAACAGTTTCAAAACCTACAGAGAGAAGCATTCCACTATTCCTGTTAAGTTTTGCATTTTCTTATGCAGACAAAGTGTCAAAAGGTGATGAGACCAGTTTTTTCCAGCTGCACAGAGAACAAATAAGATGAAGCTTCTCTTGTCACTTGCTGCAGCACTACTGGTAAGTTGACTCCAGGATGGCTACAATGTTTCTCACTCTTTCTTGATTTTTTTTAAGCTGACATATTGAGAAAACTAGAGTAGATAACCTGAAAAACCTGCTTATATAACCTCTGGTACAAAACAAAGTCTATTAATTATTTTTCTTTTTGTTTATATTATAATATAATAAATCAATAAAGCAGCAGTGAAACAGTTGCAACATTTTTACTCAAGCTATGGGACAGAGAGGATATCAGTGATTCATACCCAACTGGGAGCTTGGCCCATCTATGTTAACTTCTAAGTTGTAAAACCAATGGAAAAAGATAAAAGGGTAAAAGTTATTAAAAGAAAACGTTACAGCTAAATGACTTAACAGTTTCAGTAGTGGTGGGTGACTAATTTAGCATAAAATCTAAATTCAAAAAAGCTAAATAATCTTTAAAATTACAAAAAAAATATCTCCAGGTACAATTAAATGTGTATTTATTAGCACCATTAGAATTAGTAATAAAAAAAACTGTTTAGTAATTACAAAAAGTAAGAAACAAATATTAGGAATTATAGTTATTTTAATAATTTAGGTGACGGTACATATAATTTTAACATCTGATGGACATTAGTCTATTTCATAAACTTCCAAAAGCCATTGCAGGGACAATGCTATGTCTTTAATAAAGCTCCTATCACAAACCAAAAGATAACATTTTAATATATAGATAAACCACACCAAAGCTTGTCATTACATTTAATAAAACCCAACATTTTAGCAGCAGTAGATCAAATGAAACACTCAAAAGAAAGCCAAAAATACAAAGTGTAAGTTCATTTTGCTCGATGGGTACTGACTAATTCCTGTCATGCTAAGCCTAAGCCATGAGTCTCCATAGCTTTTATGGTAATTTTATAGCTACCGACACACACGAACATTAGCTGAATTTTGACGGTCTCGAACGGCGTTTTGCAAAACTGGGAATTAAAAGTTAGAAAAACAAGTCTCGAAGGAACTGAACATGTACAAAAACACAATACAATGTTCCCAAACTTACACTTAGCTCTCGCTAACCCTAAGCTACCACCGTGATGCGGTAGCAGCTGTTTATTCTAACAGATGCAGACAGTAAATATGATTAATTATAACATACTTTAAAACCAGATACTGTGAAATACTTTTCACACTTAAAATTTGAGTATTCTTTATCCAATATCTGAAGCAAAAATCCAATAGAAAAGCTAAGTAGCCAACGCGCTGCTAGCATTCAAGCTAGCATAGCAGCTTTCATTAGCTTTGTTGTAAAACTCCGTTGAGCATGACCATTAACAATCTGGAAAAATAAATATTTGACACCCAATAATCTAAAGAATGTCTGTTTATTACATAGAACAGAGCGTGCATGTTGCTGAATGGGATTACAAACGACTGTGAGCTTTGGCAACTACAACGGCTAACGAACCGAAGCTAAATGCTTCGGGCCTGCTTCTGTTTATTCTTGGTTTGTAGCGCTTGATTACTATTGCAATATGAAATTCAGTGTTGTTCAATTGCTAGTGGTAAGACTATCATAAGTAACTAAACAAATGTTGGTTGTAAATAAGACGATCACGTTAAGCATGTTCAAAATGGGCAGTTAGAAAAAAGAAAAAAGACCGACAGCTATCATGGGAGCTTATTACCAACTTGCTGTTGTCTGGAGCTTAAACATCAGCCAAATACTCAACAACATGGCCCCCCTTCGAGTCCCAAAACAGAGGGGCCTTAACCGCTAAACAAAAGAGAAATACCCACAGCGCGGCTAACAACGGCGATCGAATAGCTTGATTTACGGATTTCTGCTTGAGTTATACTATAATAGATTACAAAATACTCACGCCTTGTCGTGTAGATTGAGCCTCTGTGCTTGTAGCACGCTGTAAACCCTATTCTATATTGTTTTGTTGCCGTGGAGAGAGAGCGGTGATTTTTAGCAAGGCTTGTTCAGTGCTAAGGGTTTGCCCTCGCTGGCACCCCCTTCCTGTAAGTAGGGTGAACTACGTAAATCTACGTGTGTACTTTCCCATACCTTTCACAAGACATTTTTATATTTATTATTTTATCAAAGTGCCACAATCCAGAAGATAATTTATTTAAACATATTTGAATAAGGGAATATATTAATACAAGCATTCTGGATATATCTTAATGTAGTAAAACTTCGCTAACGTGATGGTAAGGACAAAAATTCAGGAAAATAATTGACTACCTTATCAGTCAAGCGTTCATTTGCCGTGTTTTATCATATAAAACTAGTATTTATTAATTTTAATTTACTATTTCACGTGGATCCAGTTCATCATGAGAATAATGAAACTCTAATGATCCGCATACAAGACCCTTGAAAATGATTAAATACTTTATAATATATGTTTTTAAATCAAATTACTAAGAATGATTATTAAAGAACATAGTTATATAAATATCACATTTTGTTTTATATTTTTAATTATTTGTTGTCTGTATTTTTAATTAGTTTAAATAACTAAAGTACTGTACTGAAGAGGCAATACCAGCTATGCACTTTTATGGAAACTGCAACTGATTTTAGTTTTTACTTTATTGATGGTTTTAAAAATTTAAGATGTTGAAATTTTTGATCCAGGTTTCTAGAGCTGCAAATTGCTCTTCGGTTTACTTAATATAATAATAGTAAAAATTAAATTTATTGATCTCACATAGGAGAAATGTACCTCTTCATTTAACCCATCACCTTGGAATATATCAAACTATGAACTTTTTCCCTATATATATATATATATATATATATATATATATATATATATATATATATATATATATATATATATATATATATATATATATATATATATATATATATATATATATATATATATATATATATTTACTTATTTATTTTTTATTTTTTTATCTTGCTTGGTGCACCCATAAAAAAAATAATAAAAAAAACACTGGCCCCACACCGGGGTCCCTGGTAAATCTGGTCTAGAACCGCCACTGTTATGTACTAAATTGTTATAGTTGGCCCTTTAAAGAAATGTATTATGGATAGTTATAATGTGAAATACAAACTTTAAAAAAGATTTATTTGGGCCTATGGCATTGAGGGAAGAAAACATTGAGTTTTTGAAGTGATGCAAAATTGTAGCTGTGTATTAAACACAACTTAAGTGGGAAGATCCCAAAGCTTCTCATGATAATGTATACAGAAGAAAGATTTTAATGATTACTATAACATAACTTAGCTAAAAGAGAATTTAATGCAATATATAGTTCGGTCACATGGTTGGGACATATGATGGCCTCTGGCCCTCCCCTCCTCAGTAGAAACCAATGATATCCAGTCACCCAACCCTCTACAAACTATGATCTCACTCCCTCATTTCCGATTGGATTGTTATATTTAGGAAACCAGCCCAGCTTTATAAACTGAAGGCCTAGGATTTTCCCAAACATTGTAGAGTTTGGAGAGAAAACCACCCGGCAGAAAAAGCCTGATCGGTCTCCTGACAGTTTCTAATCAGGACCGAAGCGAGAAAGGAGCCCAGATCTGTGTTTTGTATGCCACGATTAAAGAAAGCCAAAGAAGAGACCCAGATGGCTGTCCTACGGAAGAAGCTGGTGGTAGTCGGGGACGGCGCCTGCGGGAAAACTTGTCTACTGATAGTTTTCAGCAAAGACGAGTTCCCTGAAGTCTACGTCCCCACAGTGTTTGAGACCTACGTGGCCGACATAGAAGTAGACAACCAGCAAGTGCAGCTGGCGCTGTGGGACACAGCTGGACAGGAGGACTATGACCGACTGCGCCCTCTCTCCTACCCGGACACTGATGTCATCCTCATCTGCTTCTCCGTGGACAGCCCGGACTCTCTAGAGAACATATCCGAAAAGTGGGTCCCCGAGGTCAGGCACTTTTGTCCGAACGTGCCGATCATCTTGGTTGCCAATAAGAAAGATCTGCGCAACGACGAGAACACCAAGAACGAGCTGTCTCGGATGAAGCTAGAGCCGGTGAAGGCGGAGGAAGGCCGGGCTATGGCCGCGCGCATCGGCGCATACGACTACTTGGAGTGCTCCGCCAGAACCAAAGAAGGCATCTGGGAGGTCTTCGAAACGGCGACACGGGCAACCCTCCAGAAACGCTCCACCACGGGGGATATTTTCAAATGCTGTGTGATGCTGTGATTGAACTGTGGGTTTCAGGGCCTTAGAAGATACAAGACGGTTCCTGCGTGGGGTCTGTGTTTGGACATGTTGAAGCAAAACCAGTGGCCACCTCTTTGTTCGGACACTTGCATGTGGGTGTGCGTAAAGTACCGGTTAAAGCTTCTCCTCTTGATCACATGATGCCCATTGCCTGAAAAACAAAGGATAAACAATGTTAGAAATTGCTCCATTTTATTTGGAGAAATGTCTCCTCCAGTCATTTGAATGAGGCCTTACTTGAGGCATGCTTTTAAACTGACAATTTTTTTTGTGCATCAAAGTATTTTTTTAAAAGGTAGCTTTTTAACTAAACTTTTACACTTTGTAAAAAGAACCAAAGCTGAAAATGTTGCACTCTAATTTAAGTCTAAATTGTGTTCAACCACAAACCTGTCCCAAGATTGTAATATTGTAAATCATCTTGATCATACATTAAGCATTCTTATGATGTTATGTTTAGTGTTTTTAATTTAACTATAATTTTGTTTGAGGTAACAGGTATATATTATAATTTGAACACTACCTTTGTTTTGGTTGAAAACTGGTGGTTTTCTTATTGGGTGGTTGCCCAGGGTGGCAGTAGAAAGTGGGGATACACAAGCAAATTATTATTATTTTTTTCTTCATCTTTGGTTGATTGCGTGTAGGTTGCTTAGGTAGACTTTAACGAGATTTGTGAAGGATTGCACTGCATCTTATCTGCTCCAAGAGTTAGACAATTTCCTGCATTTTGAAGTGACCAAGGAGTCAACCTTTACACGTCCCCCTAGTTTTATAATTATTTCTTATGATGTTCAGTATTAAGGGAAATACTATTTTATTATTATTTCATTATGGATGGTCATATTGACCAGTTTTTGTTTGGCGTGGTTATGTTGAAATTCTCACAGTGGGAACACCGATTAAACAAACATGTTTACACACAATCAAATGGTTTTCCTTTTAAATTTAAATTTGCTCAAATAGATTTTTTTTTCCTGGCACTATAAAGCCAGAGGAAGCCCAACTTACTTTGGCACTTTTTCTGAAATCCTATTAAAGAGTTCAGATGACATGAATGGTATAAAAAAAAAAAAACAACTTTGTTTTTTGTTTTCCCATAACTTTTTAATATGTTGATTTTTAGGATTGCTTTGTATGCAACAGTGTTACCTCACAACTTAATAAAAAATCTTTTTGAGCATATGTAGTAAAAGGAGCCAGCATGTTCAAACCTTACAGGTCATCCTGCCCCTCCATTGATTTGGCTATTTCGTCCCTTTCTACTTCCGTTTGGTACTTGTCTAATGAAACCAATGCTTATTACTATATTACTCTTTGCTGTCAAGCACTCTTTTCTTTTATTGAACAAAATTTTCTTAAATGTACATCATTTTATAATGAAATATTTTTGAAGGACTTCATATCCCCCATATTTCCACCTATTGCTCTTTGACTTTCCAGTTCCACTTACCTGAAATATGACAGATTCTGACAGATCAAAATACCACAGAGTGACATTTTTAGAGTAAAGCTACTTGAATTTCAAATAACTACATTTCATTATGGTTAACTATAATGGACTGTTAAAAAAATAATAGAGCTTGACAATATGTTGAATTCAATTGGAAACATAAAACACTAAAATCTCTAAGATGCTGTATTTGGAAGATGGTAGTTAAGACAGTTTCAAGCATTTACTATGTTTGCTAAAGATAAGAATAGCTCATTGTTGGCTCTTATGCTCACAACTCTTGGTACCTTGGATACTGAATGTTAGGAAACTGGATCTGATGCGGGGAGGGGCAAGAAAGAAGAAGAAACGGAAGGTTTCCTAATATAGTGAATTGCAAATTTAAATAGTTTACATCATAAAAAGTACTACAGATCCCCCAGGGAGGTTTGAGTTGCCTCAGTGTTTTAGTGCAACATATTACAGCAAACAGCTCTAAGCTGTTCCTGGAAAAAAAGAAAAAGGGCCAAAATCACCAGCACCCACCCATTTTGCAGTTTTTTAAAGCGCTAATCATATTGTCATGTTTACAGTAAAATCTTCCGAGTTTTAGTCATATTGACTAGTTGGTGTATATATTATTCTGTAACCTTACGTCACAAACAAAATAATTAAAAGCAGTATTTTGTATTAAAACAAACTTTACACATTAGGAGTTCGTGTTTTTCCTAGACAGGTAAGTATAACATTAATTATAAAACCATTCTGTACACAGTTTTCAAGTTAAATGTGAATTAATGAACCCGCTGTAACATGTAAACTCCATCAGCAAATTTTTGTCACTAAATATTTTTTCGTTTCGACCAAGAATGTACTTTTGAATTTACTTGATGAAAAACAATTGGGATATAACTTAATGTATTTAAGTGAGCCTTTACAGATTGTGCAACAAGCAAAGTTCATCTGTTGCTTCATGTATTGTGTAACTGTCCCCTTGTATGGTTTTGGGAGTGCTTGTACAAATAAAAGCAATGCATACATTACTGACACTGTTGCTGCCCTGTTGAGTCAGGAATTTTCTGTTCATGTTTTCATTTAGGAGGGAGGAGTTTGTGAAAGACATCTTTTTTTTTGTTGCTAAGAAATAATCAACATACTCTGGGGCGTAAAACAGTGAAGGTTTTACGAAACTACCCTGAGTTCCAAGGGTGTAAAAGTCACATTCCCTGCTTTCTTCAGTTGCTGGGCTTTCTGCTGACCTACACAACAGGACTGCTTTGTGCTGGACTGATTAATTTTCCCAAACTGGCCCCCCTCCCTCTGATTTACAGCAATGTTTCATAGTGTCTTTATCTCCTTTGTTTGTGCCCAAAAGTGAAGTAGAACAAAGATGAATGTGCTAGATTGTTTATTTTCATGTTTTTTAGTATTAGATACAGGAAGAATGAAAAACTCAATAAAATGCTAAACATATACAATTCACTTTCTAATTAGTTTGATTTCTTTGTAAAATGTCCCTCACAACCAGATGAACACTCCTTTTATTATTTCTATCAAAACATATAAATACATTTGTGACATATTTATCCTTTCTGATATATTCTAACTATTTCTGGTTAAGGATAGTTGCTTATTTAAACATTGCAAATCTCACGTAGGAAAATGAAGAACACTTTCAACTTTGTCAGCAAAATTATTTTTATATTTATTGGCTATACACCCTACATAATTTACATAACAAGCAGATATGACTGAGAGTTAAACTATTATATTTTTATATTTCTTATCCCATTACAATCCATGTTAAATGTATTTTGGAGGAATTTAGCTTTTATAAAGTAGTAGAAATGATTATTCTTGTATTTAACTTTTCTTTATTGTTCCTAGCAGCCTTAGAAACGACACAGTGTAATTTTTCCTCTCTCTTTCATAGGATAAAGTATGAATGTCACTACTGCTATTTTAGACTTGACTAAATTTAGACCTGAGCACAGGGGGGAGTAAAGGACAAATGTCTGTAGTGGAACACAGAGTTTGTTCATGATATTTAATAAAACACTTGAATTTTTGTTTAGTTTTATCTAACCAACAAAATGGAACTTTACAACAAATCTCCATACTAGTTTAAAACCTTTTTGTTTTATTTAGACACATTACAACCACAAACTTAAATGTGATTTCAATAGGCTGTTATACCATCAGCCAACAAAGAGCACCACACGTTTGGGAAGTGGAAGGAAAATGACATATGGCTTTCTGAACCTACACAGTTCATGGCAATGACAGCTGCAAGGGCTGTGTGTTTTTCATCATTAGACTAAAGGTTATGCCCACTGTTTTTTTTTGTTTTTATAAATTCAGATTATTATTATTATTTTTTTTAAACCTTTCTAATTTTGGGGATTTTTCAATTTTGTAACACTTGTGTAGGCTTTGATATGAACCTTTTTCATTGTAGCTCTGGCTGTATGCTTTGGGTCAAATATCCTGCTGGAAGTTCAATTTTTTGACTTTTTCAGCCTCCAACATTGTTGTTTTTACTGGAATGACCCTTTTTTCAGCTCCACCCATCTTGTCATCAACTCTGACTATTAGATGATATGTTCAGGGTGATGTGTAATGGTTATTTTAAGCTAAATGTGTTTTGATATGTTTTGACTGCAAGACTCATATTTGTCCGGTCATCAGATTCTCCCACCTAAGCTCTGGATCTCCAAAGCTTCTCCAGCCAGCATTCTGATGAAATTAAAAAGAGAGATCAATTTCTCCTATCTTATCTTCACTTCATTGGCTTTCTGTGAAATCCAAATAGAATTAAAAAACCACCTTCTCACATATAAAGCACTAAATAACCAAGCTTTGTTTTGTATCAGGGGTCTGATTCTTCCTTATGTTCCTAAGCGAGCACTCCACTCTCATTCTGCAGGTAAATTAGTGGTTCCTAGAATTTCTAAAAGTAGAATAGGAGGCAGATCTTTTTGTTATTAGGCTCCTCTCCTGTGGAACCAGCTACCAGTTTTAGTCCATTAGACAGACACTCTTGTCTACTTTTAAGAGTAGGCTTACAACCTTCTTTTTAGATAAAGCTTATAGTTAAAAAAAGAGAGTGATGTTTGCTTAGTAACTGGGTGAGTAGAGAGGTAGGTGGAGGAAGAACGTACACAGCCTGATCCAGTGTGGGAGAATTTCAGTCCGAGCACGTTTCTCCTTGGCCCTACTGTGAATGTACCTTTCTTATACCTGTTCCAAAATTGTGAAGTTATCCTGAGCCATTTTGAAAATGTAAATCCCTTTATTGTCCCACAATGGGGAAATTCGTTTTCTGCATTTTGACCCATCCCATTGGGGAGCAATGGGCTGCCATTGGGAGGCGCCCGGGGAGCAGTGTTGGGTTAAGGGTTTTGCTTAGGAACCCAGAGTGGAGGCTGTGGGGAACTGGGTACTTGCAAAACTCATAGCACAAGCGCGCTGCTCTAACCTACTAAGCCAACACTCCCTTCTATATTTTTGCTGCTATATGTTTAGGCTGCTGGATCACATAAGGAACACTTTTCCTTATTCTGCTTCATTCTATATCTATTCTCCTAGTCTGCAGTATTTGTTCCACTTACAACTTTTTGTTCTTTCTGCTTATTCCTGCCATAGTAGCTTCATCTGGTCTGTTCCTTTTTAGCTGTGCTGCTGCCATGAACTATTGTGTTTATGGATATTTAAGCTTGGTCGGTTCTCATTGTAGTCCTGTTTCTTTTGATGTAACCAACTGTATGTATTTTCTTTCATCCTCTGACAAGAGAAATGGCTCAGAGCTCATCTGCCTGGCTGTGTGTTTCCTGGACCAGCCCGCCTGTGGAGCTGGTTAACAGTTACCTTATCTTTGCTTTTCTCTATGTCTGCTTCTGTCTTCTTGAACCCCAGTCGGCCTCGGCAGATGGTCACTTACACTGAGCCTGATTCTGCTGGAAGGTTTCTTCTTGTTAAAAGGGAGTTTTCCTTCTCCACTATCGGATCATGCATACTTGGTGTGAGGGATTGCTGAAGAGTCAACGACAAAAGGCAGTGAAAATCATTGCTGCAAGCTCATTTAAGAAGGAGCATGTGTTGCAAGTCAATGACTGGATGCAATCGACTGGTTTTCTTAACCAATCTGACTATTGTGAAGTCTGTAATGTACATTGATATGACATGTGTTGTGTATTTGAGCCATATAAATAAAATTAACTAAATTGAACTGGTTGGAACTAGTGTTGTCTTCTTCAACAATGACAAAATTATTTTGTTGGCGCTCCTTTTTTTTAATGACAAGATAAACATAGATCTTCGATTACAAATACATGCTGAATAATAGGTGTAAGTTTTCGTCAATGAGACGAGACTAAATAAAAACGTAAGCGGGTCGTTGGTCAGACGTTTAAAGCTTGGCATACACTGCAAATTTTTTTCAATCATTGCACGCAGCTACAGCTCACACTGTACGATGAAACCACGTGTTGCCTTGGCAATTTGTGCAACTTTGTGTGCTGAAAGCCCAAAAAAGAAAAGGAGACAACATATTTGGACAAAGACATGGCTGAGCAAATGTGGTAACTATGGTCTGTTAATTTTACAGAAAGAACTTTCACATGATAGTCCCTTGTTTCCCTCTGTACACTACACAATGTAAGACCAGGCTGATAGTTGGACCGATCAAATTATTCTCGCATGACTGGAAAGTCGACCCGAAAAGAGCAAAAAATCGCACAGTGTATGCCCAGCTTAAAATGCATCATTGTGCTGTAATCTGTTAGACAAGCTAAGCAGTATCAGCCGTGCAGCATCGTCTTGTTTGGTCACACCGCCCATTTGGTGTGCAGCGGCACACATTTTGCATGAACACAGATGGTGGCAGCAGCGGAAGGGGGGCAATAAGCCCGAATTGTTTGGTACTGCGCACCCAACACTGACAAACTCTGTTCTTCCAGCTATGCTTATGCAGAAATGTGCTATACTATATGGGGCTGTTCATCCTCTGCCAATCTTGAAAAATCCCTTTCTCTAACTATCAAGATTTTATTTTTTCCAGCTCACAAGGTGTTATACTAAACAATCTTTAATTTTGAGCAAAAGGAATCCCTAAATTATATCCAAAGAAAATATTTCATTGCGTACTATTTATTTTTGAAAAAACAGCCAGGTGAAAAAGTACATAGATCTTTGAATATTTCTCTCTCATTGTTGTTGTTTTTTATTTATTCAAATATGATGTAAATGTTTCCTTGTATTGTCATCAAACCATTTTCTATATTTCCTAGAAATATTTCAACCTTTTAGTTCACATATTCATTCAATTTAGGACTGGATTGCCATGGTATTACAAGGTTCTCTCTGTATTTTTTTATTTTATTTTTTTATCAAAACCCTTTGAATAAATCTACTTTGACCCCTGAGCAGCAGTAACCAAGGGGTAAATTCCCCGAAATAAAGCCTAAATGTTTTTCTTCTTTAATTTTTTGGAGTAATGAAGATTTTATTGATCTGTGTGCAATGCATCATTCATTCACATATTAACCAATGATGTGTTGAACTAGATCTACTATTTTCACAGCTTTTGTTAGACACTTTTGTATAAAATAGGGCATTAATTCATAAAAAAAAGTTCATTTGAATTCCATAAATCAAAGTTTTCTGCCCAAACGCTACGATGAGCTGCAGGCCAGCATTCTGTACCCAGCAGTTGTAGTATCTAGGTAAAGCTGTCAATTTGGTAAAGAAACTGGTTGTTATCCGAAATTGTAAAGGGTACCTTTTTTCACAACATAAAACTGAGTAAAACTAGACTAAAACCAGTATGGCAACAAAGCCAATAACTAAGGGCAAATAGAAATATTGTTTAATAGTTAGATTAAATCATACTACCGTACTTGTCTTAAGGTCTATACCTAACTGGAAATGACTTGGAGATATGTAAATTAACTAAAACTGAAACATTATTGTTCCCTGTGGTGTCGAAAAGGCTCAGAGATATATGCAGTACAAACAGTTTATTGATGACCACTTAGGTTTAAATAGGA